TTCAAAATTCTTATTAAATAAAGTTTATATACGTTTCTACTGATGTATTTAATTTTTGTATCAGAGATAAAAGGGGGCGGTTCAGGAAAAATGGACCATGAGGGGCTTTCGGAAATGTAGCGAAATTTTGTTAGAAGTCGTTTAAACAACATAGTAGCCATAATCGAATGTTAAGCAAAATATGATTTCATATGTAGTTTAAAGAACAAGTTAGTACTCTTACCTAAAATGGCTAGTGAAAGCTTACCTAATGTTTCATCGCCATCTTGAAATCATTTAATTCCCCTCTTTTATGCCTCTAAAGGGTCGTACCAAATTGCATGGTTTCAAGCTGTCTGAGACGTTTTCAGTATTCAATTATCACGCGAGAGGTCGAGCGCGCCACTCTTACATCGCATGGGAACAGCAACAACGTTGACATCGCCAGCATTAGGCGCGGACGCGACTGTCTGATGACGGCTGGACTTCCGGCGCGGGGAGCCAACGGATTAGAGTGCATGAATATGGCGCATACTGTACCGGATTTTAACTACTCCGGGCCGCCATCTTGTTTTTTTGTCCTGTTTGTTTGTACTTTACTTCCGTTCACACGTATAGCTTCCCTGTCAATCACTCGTGTCAATTTGATTTAGGTCGAACACAAGTCCGTCAAACACGTGTGTCAGTTTCACTAAAATGATAAAATGACTGGATTATGATGCAAAAACTGCGACGCGTCGTATATTGGAGAGACTGGAAGGCGATTTGGGGTCCGCCTTGGTGAACACCGGAAAGATACAGAAATCCAAGAAGGTAGGAAATTCACCAGATCAGAAAGGAAGCAATCGGAGTTCCAGATAAATAAATCGGCAATCACAGACCATTCCACACAGAAAAGTCATGTGATTGGCTGGGATAACTTTGGACAGAAAGAGCAATCTGTTCAAGCGGCAGTTAAAGGAAGCCATCTGGATACGCCGCAGTGGACCAGTTCTAAATCGAGACGAGCGGGCGCAAACACTCTCGAACATCTATGACCAAGTATAAACAAAGCGTAGCTGCATCGAGTCATTACGTTACATATATACCAACTGTTGTACATACGCATACAGCGTAGCCGAAATCGACATCGATTCAGTTGTCAACTCGTACACATTTTACACTTTGTGTGCATACGCTTTACTGGTCATTTGTCTGATGAAAGTGACAGTGTACATATCATACTAGTCATCGAAACGTCACATAGAAAAGAAAATGTTATTGGTTGTCTAAAAAGAACTTTTCATAATCCATACTTACCAATCAACCTGAAGAAAATGTTTAGAAAGATAATATGACTGATTCATCAGTGTTTTATCAGTTGAATCAAATTCAATTTTATCCGCTTAGAGATGTAATATTTGAAAACAAAAATCAACATTGCATAACCTTCAGCATCCCGGACAATCGACAATTTAGTTGAAAATAATGTGTAGCCGGCGCGGGAAAAAACAGCATGTACACAAAATGTCTAATCCCGTCTAATGCATTATGGTTTACTACTGTTTAAGTTCGATTCCTATTATATTTCCCACGTGACTTTGCTATCACGTTGATATGGCTGTCTGGCTGCAGTGCTGATGTATTCGAGGGACTATTTGCACAGAACACCAATCACTCACGCAGAGTAATGAAAGGACCGCGGAATGATTAACACGAACATCTAGCGGTGAAGTGGCATCAAATAGTTCCCTTGTTGGTCGTAATTTACTGTTCGAAATATCAGTGAGTTTTGTGTCCAAGCGCGCACAGACGTTTGATGGAAATTGGCAGGTTTAAAGATCTCCAGGAAAGAAATTGGTTTACACTATTCAAGGCAGACAATTCAATGCCATATTAACGGGAATAAGTCGGTAGAGTTTTGACATGTAAAACTCCGGTGGGACGTACAGTACCACGCTTTCTTTTCCCAACACTGGCTAAACCAGCTAATGAAAAAGGTACATTACCATAGCAACGATGCCCCTTGATACATATATACTCTGTTATAGTTCTAAGCCAGCAAGATGCTAATGGTTATATTTAGATGTTGATGTCATGTTTTATTCTGATGTGGTAATGCGCTATTCCATATATGGGTTTACCTTTTTAAATGAGACTATTTGCGCGTGATGACAACATGTAGACGTTAATGGGCCCGCTTGGAGTACTACGAGTGCTGACAGAGCAAAGTTGACGTCTCCAATGCCCCCGGATCTCACGGATCCGTATTCGATATAATGTTAGATAGAGCAAAATTCTCCCGTCGTTTACCACCGGCTGATCTCTCTTAAATCATCTTTTACTAGACCACATTTCTCGGTGAAATGTTATCAAATTATGCAAGTACAAGATTATTTTTGTAAGGTCAATGACCGACGAAATGTATTTGTAGCATTTATATAAATCTCTTCCGTGTGTATATACATTGTACATACATAAAATAAACTTGTCTTCACCTAGATCAGGAACAATATCTGTTCCTGGTTTTTATCATGTCTGGTGCACTTTTCCTTGTTTAGATATGAACGATACAGTGTAAATTACCTTTTTTTTGCGTTCAAATTAATTTATATTCTTTCAAATATATTTACAAGGATTTGAATACTGAAAAGAGACAACAAAAGTTATGTACTCACTGCTGAATTGTATCTGAGATATTTTAACTGGTGATGTTCTTTATTGTAAATACAATTTCAAACTGGACAAAGACGAATTCATAGAGGTGTGTTAGTTCTTCCTTCTTCATGTTAAAATTGCCTTTGTCCAGTTTGCATTTATATATGAAGAAATGACAAATAAAACAGTTCAACAGCTTCACTAACCAATTAGGGAATACAGTATTCGGGTAAACGTAGTGTAGGTATCGCGTAAATAGGCTTCGTTCAATAAAATAGAACAACCATTTGTCCATAATTTCATATAATTCCTCTAAACTACATGATACAAATATGGTTTAACTACAGATTACAAATTTGGTAATTTGCTAGCTAATGGGTGATGTTCATAGTTTGAATTGTAAGATAGCTGAGTGTATTTAGTCTTAAAAAGGCGGTAGTTTTTCACGATAACCTATAAATTGTGCGACAGTTTGTATCCGCAGTATCAAAGAGCGCGTCATATGTGTATGCATTACTTAAAAGTGTGGCAGTTTTAAATACATTTCTAGATAATGTCACCTTTTAGTGTTTATAAGTACCTTGTATGTTTAATAACATTTAAACTTTACATATTTCATTCATGTTTATTGAATTGCAGTAAATAAAAACCAATGTTTCGACTTATCAGACAACAGTTGTAGTTATCAATATAGGGATTTATTGTTTCGTTATATATTCATCGACTTCGATGATGTTTACTGTTGATATCGTGGAAACATTTCATTATTTTATGCAGCATAAAGCAATAGATATGTATATCACTATTTTATCGTGTGTTATTGGAAGCTTCTCAAAACCAAACGTCAACCGACTTGTTCTTCATACATAAGCATGTGAGTGAGGGGGTATGGCGTTATTTTTCATTCTTGTTGATGTTTACAGAGTCCATGTAATTGTTTTGTCCTTGGGTTCTTCTTTTCGTGTTTGTCTGTTGACGATGAATTATGTTTTCTCATCATACCTGACATACTTGTGCATGTATAAAGGTTTACCTACATGAACAACATATTAATCCGTTTGTATCTACTACCCAGCTTCCAAATGACATCCGTTGTCAATACCGACGGTAACTAGCCACTAATGAAATCTATATTGTATATATATATACACGAGTATCACAAACATCGTTGTCTCTAGATGAAACCTTGACAATATAGTTGCTCTTGTTGGTAAATTAGTGGGTTTTACGCCTTTCACCTCTGTTTTAAGAGTAGTTTAGTGTACTTTTTGGGGATTTTCACCTTTTTGACCCATCTCCAACTAGTTGCAGAAGGATGAAACATCTGGATGAAGCAGTGTTATTCCTAGTTGGTAAACTGTTTACATTACCAAATTGTTCAGGTACAAACACACGTGTGTGTCATACGGTCGCGGTTTGCTTCGTGGGAAATATGTTATGTTTCTAGATCTGTATCATTACACCCAGTGACAACTTGTCCTTTAACTGGAACAGAACAAGCATAACTTTTTCACCGTTTGATTTATTGTCTCTCTATAGTTACTCTAGGATTTACCTTGGTCGGTTATCATAAAATGGTTGTGGAAATGGAAGTGAATGACATCTAAAACAATTGCAATTTTTCCGAAGGTTTGTTTCGTTACGAGCTTATTTGAGGTTTATTAAAGACTAATTAATAATAAGTTTATATTTTATACCTATAAAAGAGAAGCGTTTTACAGGAATAACAAAATACGTTGTTTTTTTTGTAGCTGTACGCCTCACCCTAACCAAACACACACACAAAGCATCGTTACAGTTGGTATAATTCGTCTAGTATTTCGTTGATCTTCAACATGTAGATATATAGTAGTTTTATATTTCACAGTTAACTCGCGATAAACTCAAAAATATGTATGTACAAGTGTACATATACATTATTGGAATTGGCTGATCTCGAAATCGTTGCGGAACTAGACTTTGAGTTGTTATCGTATAACCTCCATTACGATGATTGTATTTGATTATTTATGCATGTGTATTTTACCTCACATTCGATAGGTTTCACCCAAATTACATTCAGATCAACCAAATGATTCCGACCTACCCGAGATCAATCTTAATATGATAATTTGATCAGTAAGAATGTACATACAAATAACTATATGCATTCCTAAGCCAGTTGTCATTGTAATTGGAAACACTATAGATAGATGTACCACAGCGTGAACACACAATCACAAAAAACAGAAATCAAAGCGACACCAAGACAAAAGGGAAGACATCATGAGCCAGGAATGTATATACATACAGACGCATCAAATCGTAAGAGACACTGAAATATTATATATAATACGTGTACATAATTATCATTGTGCTAAAATCCTTTCTTTCTTTTGTTGCAGGTGAGGTTGGAAAAGAGATGTATATAGTAAATAGAGGAAAGCTACATGTAGTTGGTGACAATGGCAAATCAGTGCTAGCAACGTTAAAACCAGGCAGTTATTTCGGGGAAATCAGTATTCTAAATATGGGAACTTCCGGCAATAGACGAACTGCTTCGGTCAGATCCGTAGGATATTCCGATTTGTTCCGATTATCAAAAGAAGATATGTGGGATGTACTTAAGGAATACCCACAAGCACGTGTAAAATTGGAATCTATTGCTGTGAAAAGACTGGAGAAAACAAAGCAATCTCCTATAGAAAAAGGTAGGTTATTTAATGTCTTGTTGACCTGTTAATTAACTGTTAATTGTTTTGAGAATTTACAACGCAATAACGAATACATGTATATATTTGTATATTTATTTATTTATTTATTTACTATTTTTGCTCAAAAGACTATACTAAGTAATGATAATAAGTATCCCTTTCAGATACATTTTCTACAACATTTCTAACATTTTTTGTTTTTTATTTTATATTTTTTGTTTAGTTTAAACAACATTTATGGAGAAACAAAGTAGAACAAATAAATATAAAAACTACCCAAAAGGTTTGGTAACCAGCTGAGAGTTTATGCTATCAATAATGTAAAGAACTCCTTGCTATGTCCTCTTCAGTATGTGTAGGTAAATTGTCACGTGATATGTAGAAGGTCTGGCCCTCGGAAACACAGGCCGTGGACATTATTGCATAATCTGCTTTTAACACCTTTTTTGTTATATTCGCCCTATCATCCGAATGAGCAAAAAGCGATTTTAAAAGGAATCAAATAAAAAAAAACACATTGTCAAATACTTCTTGAGAGGGCGAATTATTTTGTAAAACAAATGATTTGTTCTGAAAAAGAAAAAAAAAGAGTTACTCAAACTGTTTTTGTCACTTCACTAACTCGTAGAAATAAGAAGCTACAGATACACCCTCTGTTTCTCTTCACCCCACCACGTGACACCTACGGGCACAAATCTTGTATTTACTCTCAGCGTTTTCAACCAGTTATGGTTTGGACGAAGAATGTTGTAAAAGTTTATATTTTTGGCTGTTGTCATTAGATTATTAATGTTTTCATCAGATTATAAATGTTGTCATCAGATTATCTTTCATCAAATTATAAATGTTTGCGCTGGACTATTAATGTTGTCACAAGGCTGTAAATGTTTTCATCACATTATAAATGTTTTCATCACATTATTGATGTTTTCATCAGATAATAAATGTTTTCGGTAGACTTGAATTTTTCGCTAGGCTACACCTGTAAATTGATACACTTTTGCATTGGTATTTTCCATTATCAGACGTCATGTTATACCATAGCGGATGTGTTCCTCTTAACAAGGCACTGGTTCTTTCTCTAAGCCATGATAATATTAGTGGACAACGAATGTTTCCAGTAGGTTACAGTTCTATAACTGTACATCCCACTGAGCTGTATTCCACTAGGCTGTGGTTTCTTATTGTTCACCCCAACAGATACATTTTCAATGGAAATTAATATAATGAGCGACATCCAGCAAACCATACATCTGTATTTATTGATTCTTTATTTATGAATTAATATCCTCTGTGGGAAGTGTGTGAGTATATCATAGCGTCAAAGGGAGCATGCCTATCCCAGAGGAGGTCCTATTCTCGGTAGGGCAATAAGGGAATGTTGCTGAAAAGGAACTATTTACGCATTGAATGGATCTGAGAACCAATGTGATGGAAACGATTACATGTGTCTCAATATCACGACGAAATCAATGACAAACAAACTGATGAGATGTTTTCTATAACATCGTCCATTTCAGATTTAGATATCTGTTAGCCTCCTAAGAGTAATAAATTATCCTAGTAGTTTATTTTCAATCATTATTTGACACACTGATCACATGCTAGATCTAGTTTGTGTAAAATGTATATGCAATACATTAAGACCATTGAGTGATTGGATATAATCAAAAGAAAGGGACCCTTTAATTAATTGTGAATTGTCATGATATTATAAACTCACAAGGAACAAATGTATCACAGCGTTAATACACAAGGATTGATAACAGTCATAGAGCTATATGCTCGGAATAGCGTAGACAATAAACACCAGATACACTTGTATAAACATTGCAAATAAATCGTCCTCTTGATACTAGGTTAGTTACATAATTGTATTATTTATTATGAAATTCGTTTTCAATTTAATCAAAACCTCGAAATAATGGTCCTTTTCATCAGTGTAAAACAAAACTTCGAGACAATACCCCTAGTTAACCCCACACTAAAACCTCAATATATTGTCATCATTTATCATTGTCCGGGTACATTATCCTGGTACACGTATAGTAAAAGTTAAATATAATACCCTAGTTACACACACTAAAACCTCTATATATTGTCATCATTTATCATTGTCATGTGTATTGTTTTAATTCTGACGTCATAATTGGTGTTTTAATATCAGTTAATTACCAATACCGGCATATGTTAATGTACTGCATAACATGGTAATAAAAATAAAATAATCGTATTTTCTTTATCATTTTTTGAGATATATTTCTTCCTGCTATATCTCTTTAGAACGATTAAATGTATTAAATCTACTTGACAGGAAATATTTTTGTATAGTTTTACTTTCACAAGTAAGGACCGCAATGATGCCTGAATTTTGTCATGTCTTACATACACTATCCATCTTTAGAGTAACACTATGACGTGTCCAGATTGGTGACGACAACGTCAACGGCCCATTGGTGACAACAAAGTACACAGTATTGAGTTAGTCCTAACAGCTCATAGGTGACAACAAAGTACACCGTATTGAGTCAGTCCTAATGGCCCATAGGTGACAACAAAGTACACAGTATTGAGATAGTCCTAACGGCCCATTGTGACAACAAAATACACAGTATTAAGTTAGTCCTCACGGTCCATTGGTGACAACAAAGTACACAGTATTGAGATAGTCCTAACGGCCCATTGGTGACAACAAAATACACAGTATTAAGTTAGTCCTAACGGTCCATTGGTGACAACAAAGAAAACAGTATTGAGTTAGTCCTAACGGTCCATTGGTGACAACAAAGTACACAGTATTGAGTTAGTCCTAACGGCCCATTGGTGACAACAAAGTACACAGTATTGAGTTAGTCCTAACGGCCCATTGGTGACAACAAAGTACACAGTATTGAGTTAGTCCTAACGGCCCATTGGTGACAACAAAGTACACAGTATTGAGTTAGTCCTAACGGCCCATTGGTGACAACAAAGTACACAGTATTGAGTTAGTCCTAACGGCCCATTGGTGACAACAAAGTACACAGTATTGAGTTAGTCCTAACGGCCCATTGGTGACAACAAAGTACACAGTATTGAGTTAGTCCTAACGGCCCATTGGTGACAACAAAGTACACAGTATTGAGTTAGTCCTAACGGCCCATTGGTGACAACAAAGTACACAGTATTGAGTTAGTCCTAACGGCCCATTGGTGACAACAAAGTACACAGTATTGAGTTAGTCCTAACGGCCCATTGGTGACAACAAAGTACACAGTATTGAGTTAGTCCTAACGGCCCATTGGTGACAACAAAGTACACAGTATTGAGTTAGTCCTAACGGCCCATTGGTGACAACAAAGTACACAGTATTGAGTTAGTCCTAACGGCCCATTGGTGACAACAAAGTACACAGTATTGAGTTAGTCCTAACGGCCCATTGGTGACAACAAAGTACACAGTATTGAGTTAGTCCTAACGGCCCATTGGTGACAACAAAGTACACAGTATTGAGTTAGTCCTAACGGCCCATTGGTGACAACAAAGTACACAGTATTGAGTTAGTCCTAACGGCCCATTGGTGACAACAAAGTACACAGTATTGAGTTAGTCCTAACGGCCCATTGGTGACAACAAAGTACACAGTATTGAGTTAGTCCTAACGGCCCATTGGTGACAACAAAGTACACAGTATTGAGTTAGTCCTAACGGCCCATTGGTGACAACAAAGTACACAGTATTGAGTTAGTCCTAACGGCCCATTGGTGACAACAAAGTACACAGTATTGAGTTAGTCCTAACGGCCCATTGGTGACAACAAAGTACACAGTATTGAGTTAGTCCTAACGGCCCATTGGTGACAACAAAGTACACAGTATTGAGTTAGTCCTAACGGCCCATTGGTGACAACAAAGTACACAGTATTGAGTTAGTCCTAACGGCCCATTGGTGACAACAAAGTACACAGTATTGAGTTAGTCCTAACGGCCCATTGGTGACAACAAAGTACACAGTATTGAGTTAGTCCTAACGGCCCATTGGTGACAACAAAGTACACAGTATTGAGTTAGTCCTAACGGCCCATTGGTGACAACAAAGTACACAGTATTGAGTTAGTCCTAACGGCCCATTGGTGACAACAAAGTACACAGTATTGAGTTAGTCCTAACGGCCCATTGGTGACAACAAAGTACACAGTATTGAGTTAGTCCTAACGGCCCATTGGTGACAACAAAGTACACAGTATTGAGTTAGTCCTAACGGCCCATTGGTGACAACAAAGTACACAGTATTGAGTTAGTCCTAACGGCCCATTGGTGACAACAAAGTACACAGTATTGAGTTAGTCCTAACGGCCCATTGGTGACAACAAAGTACACAGTATTGAGTTAGTCCTAACGGCCCATTGGTGACAACAAAGTACACAGTATTGAGTTAGTCCTAACGGCCCATTGGTGACAACAAAGTACACAGTATTGAGTTAGTCCTAACGGCCCATTGGTGACAACAAAGTACACAGTATTGAGTTAGTCCTAACGGCCCATTGGTGACAACAAAGTACACAGTATTGAGTTAGTCCTAACGGCCCATTGGTGACAACAAAGTACACAGTATTGAGTTAGTCCTAACGGCCCATTGGTGACAACAAAGTACACAGTATTGAGTTAGTCCTAACGGCCCATTGGTGACAACAAAGTACACAGTATTGAGTTAGTCCTAACGGCCCATTGGTGACAACAAAGTACACAGTATTGAGTTAGTCCTAACGGCCCATTGGTGACAACAAAGTACACAGTATTGAGTTAGTCCTAACGGCCCATTGGTGACAACAAAGTACACAGTATTGAGTTAGTCCTAACGGCCCATTGGTGACAACAAAGTACACAGTATTGAGTTAGTCCTAACGGCCCATTGGTGACAACAAAGTACACAGTATTGAGTTAGTCCTAACGGCCCATTGGTGACAACAAAGTACACAGTATTGAGTTAGTCCTAACGGCCCATTGGTGACAACAAAGTACACAGTATTGAGTTAGTCCTAACGGCCCATTGGTGACAACAAAGTACACAGTATTGAGTTAGTCCTAACGGCCCATTGGTGACAACAAAGTACACAGTATTGAGTTAGTCCTAACGGCCCATTGGTGACAACAAAGTACACAGTATTGAGTTAGTCCTAACGGCCCATTGGTGACAACAAAGTACACAGTATTGAGTTAGTCCTAACGGCCCATTGGTGACAACAAAGTACACAGTATTGAGTTAGTCCTAACGGCCCATTGGTGACAACAAAGTACACAGTATTGAGTTAGTCCTAACGGCCCATTGGTGACAACAAAGTACACAGTATTGAGTTAGTCCTAACGGCCCATTGGTGACAACAAAGTACACAGTATTGAGTTAGTCCTAACGGCCCATTGGTGACAACAAAGTACACAGTATTGAGTTAGTCCTAACGGCCCATTGGTGACAACAAAGTACACAGTATTGAGTTAGTCCTAACGGCCCATTGGTGACAACAAAGTACACAGTATTGAGTTAGTCCTAACGGCCCATTGGTGACAACAAAGTACACAGTATTGAGTTAGTCCTAACGGCCCATTGGTGACAACAAAGTACACAGTATTGAGTTAGTCCTAACGGCCCATTGGTGACAACAAAGTACACAGTATTGAGTTAGTCCTAACGGCCCATTGGTGACAACAAAGTACACAGTATTGAGTTAGTCCTAACGGCCCATTGGTGACAACAAAGTACACAGTATTGAGTTAGTCCTAACGGCCCATTGGTGACAACAAAGTACACAGTATTGAGTTAGTCCTAACGGCCCATTGGTGACAACAAAGTACACAGTATTGAGTTAGTCCTAACGGCCCATTGGTGACAACAAAGTACACAGTATTGAGTTAGTCCTAACGGCCCATTGGTGACAACAAAGTACACAGTATTGAGTTAGTCCTAACGGCCCATTGGTGACAACAAAGTACACAGTATTGAGTTAGTCCTAACGGCCCATTGGTGACAACAAAGTACACAGTATTGAGTTAGTCCTAACGGCCCATTGGTGACAACAAAGTACACAGTATTGAGTTAGTCCTAACGGCCCATTGGTGACAACAAAGTACACAGTATTGAGTTAGTCCTAACGGCCCATTGGTGACAACAAAGTACACAGTATTGAGTTAGTCCTAACGGCCCATTGGTGACAACAAAGTACACAGTATTGAGTTAGTCCTAACGGCCCATTGGTGACAACAAAGTACACAGTATTGAGTTAGTCCTAACGGCCCATTGGTGACAACAAAGTACACAGTATTGAGTTAGTCCTAACGGCCCATTGGTGACAACAAAGTACACAGTATTGAGTTAGTCCTAACGGCCCATTGGTGACAACAAAGTACACAGTATTGAGTTAGTCCTAACGGCCCATTGGTGACAACAAAGTACACAGTATTGAGTTAGTCCTAACGGCCCATTGGTGACAACAAAGTACACAGTATTGAGTTAGTCCTAACGGCCCATTGGTGACAACAAAGTACACCGTATTGAGTTTGTCCTAACGGCCCATTGGTGACAACAAAGTACACAGTATTGAGATAGTCCTAACGGCCCATTGGTGACAACAAAGTACACAGTATTAAGTTAGTGCTTACGGCCCATTGGTGACAACAAAGTACACAGTATTGAGTAAGTCCTAACGGTCCATTGGTGACAACAAAATACACAGTATTGAGTTAGTCCTAACGGCCCATTGGTGACAACAAAGTACACAGTATTTGGTTAGTCCTAACGGCCCATTGGTGACAACAAAGTACACAGTATTTAGTTAATCCTAATGGCCCATTGGTGACAACAAAGTACACAGTATTGAGTTAGTCCTAACAGCTTTGTTTCTGTTAAAGATAGTACATTCGACGTCTATCTGATAAATGATTTATAATTTTACGAGTACAAGAGTACCAATCTGACGTCCAACAGAACCCCATTGAACGGCTTCTGTGTGTAGCGTGTTCCGTCGTCCACGTCGCTTCTGTGTGTAGCGTGTTCCGTCGTCTACGTCGCTTCTGTGTATAGCGTGTTTCGTCGTCCACGTCGCTTCTGACAAATCTCACAGACAATGTCATTAGAGGTTGCTTGAATACTGAGCATCTCATCTTTTTCTCTCTCCATCTGCTCGGAGGCTTTCGCAATACTGTGCACACATACGATGTTAATCCGAGATAAATATGATAATCAACCTTCACGAGTTTAGGGACACTGTTCTCCCACAAGTTTATATATTATGTCAAAAAACACATTTGTTTCTCTCCGGAGGGATACATTTCTGATCGGGAAAACAATTGCCATGAATTATGACCTCATTATGGAAGCGGACATCGCAAGGCATTGTTACTTTGAGTCATAATTAGATGATTGACCAATGAAATAGCGTCTAGGATGTTACCCAGCAGCAGTTAACCAAAATAGTTTACCAACTCCAAGCAGGTTTGTCCGATCAGTCGGGAGGTAGCAAACCTATAGTGATTAAGGAAGAAAACTGATATGATTATCAAATAATCAATGAAAATCACTTGCACCATTGTATTTAATAATATTTTTCCGGTGATTGTTCGTATCAGCAATAGAAACATGATACGAAATTATGTCAATTTAATCCTAACTTATGGCTGTCTTTTTATTTTCCCAGCTTCCATGTCCCGAAGTAAGAGTACACCGGGGCTGGTGGAATCTGACGGGAAGGTTCCTCTAGAAACTATGATTATTTCTAGGCACCATACACTTCCGGCCGGACTTCCTGTACCTCATTCCCAGAATTCCGATTACGGTGTGGAGCCTCAAATGTCCGAGGCCCCGCCAGAGGATCAGGAACAGATAGATGGTGCTGAACATGATCCTTCCGCACCCTCTGTGGGAATTGCCACCGTGGGAACGATGACTAAATCATTGACAATATCGAGTATGACGTCATATAACGCGGGATCCCCGCCTCAACGATCGCCGCTATACTCAGAGACAAAATTCACGATCAGCCCGCCCCCTTCGCCAGGATTGGTCACCCAAGCTCAAAATGTGTCCCGTCGGGGGTCTACGTGTCTCCCGTTTGGACAAGATGTTTTATCAAGAGGTTCACCCACACAACTCTCGCCACTCCATCTCGCATATTCACCGTCATATCCCGCGAGCCAACACACCCATCCTATGAATTTTTTGTCCCCTTACTGTGCCTCTAACAGTCTCCATCCGCCGTCCTCTCCAATGGCGATGGGGAGGGCGGACAACCTCTCGTCCTCCCAAACAAACCTTGCTTCGCCGCAAACACACTCGGCACACAGTCTATTTTATCAACAGCAACCCACAATGCCAGTCTCTCCTGCTATGACGTCCAATATGGCTTCCGTGAGTCCTGCCTCGTTTTCATTTGACACGTCACAAGAAGTGCTATTACTAGAGATAACAACATTGCGACAGCGGTTGATATCTCTGGAATCTGAAAATGCCGCCATGACAGTTAAGCTAAGTCAGCAACAATGGAATGTTGAACATAGACTTGCGGAACTTGAAATGCATTTATGCCACAGTTCGAGCGTAGCAAGCACAACTAGTCAAGATGAAAGAACCGATCGATTCGACACGGTAAATCGGGAGTCCATTATATGAAACTGGAAGTGGTATTATTGGAGGAATATGTCCATGTCTTCCTGAACGGAAGTATTGGATATGTATTCAACATATCCTGTTTGTCATTTAGTTCAAGGATAACGGTCGTACACGTTGTATGTGTTCAAGTTTCAAGAACAAAAACGGAGAGCATTCAAATGATTCCGGATTCACGAAATAAAGTGAAGATTGGCACCGGATGTTGTTGACACAAACACCGATCGGTCGATACACTAACACGGCCGACACCGACATGTGAATTGAAAAAGTTAAGTATTTAAAGCTTTTCTAGACAAAATGTTTCTGAGAACGGGATAAAACGATACCTGAATGCGGCTAGTGGTTCAATCCAAGTATTACCCAGTCTTCAACGGTTTTGGGCGGGTAGCAATTAAATAGTTCACTGTTTAAGATCGCGTTCACATTTCAAGGTGTGTGATTGATGCACGGCTTGGAAGCGATTTTCAAAGCTATAGCAGTTTGATAAAAACGGATACGTGTGTAAATGTAACGGAGCGGTAATCAGTGAGCGATGATGTCGCGTGAAAACAGTAGTGATATTTTGTGCCAATTATAAATTTTGAATGAGTTGGAAACGAGGCTTAAAGGTCACAGTGACTTGGATGGATTATTCAAGAGGCATGAGCTTCAATATCATTGTGTAAGGCCGTTCTATCACGGAAAGAGTCTCCCGCGCGCGTGTAATTCCCTACTTTATCATTGATGTCAAAACAGACTATCTATGGATGTTAATACTAGTGAATATGTTTTTTACCAACTGACGCATATACAAAATATATTACTTTTTTACCCAGTTTTCCTTGCCAAATACACGAGGGCATATTTATGAGTGAGTAAGTTTATCTGGCAGTTCCCTCTATGTAAACATGGGGGGGGGGGGGGGGGGGGGAGTACACGTGCATACCGATATATGTGTAAATAATAGAAATCTGATTGAATGGTAAAATCTACCGAGGAAACACTATGGCATAAATATTTTTTATGAATGTGGTACTTTGGATGAAAAATGAAACATAATATCATTTAGCAATTGCTTTTATCATAGAAACGAAACATTTACACTGACGACTTTTAACTTACAGTTGCTTCATTTGTAACTCATATGCAAAAATAGTGGTTATTGTTAAAGGTATATTACAATATTCACATAGTCCGACTGGGTGTTTATAATAAGAGTATTTGATGGTCGATTGAATAATATACCACAAAAAGAAAATATATCATGGTTCAAGATAAAATGCAGTGAGTATTTTATGGTTCAAAGTATAATTCACTAACCTAATTGGAGTATTGTTGTATTGAAGTTAAGATACTTCTTCCGAAAGTATTTTATGGTTAAAAGGTAAAAAAAAATAGCCATCAGGATGGTAGTATTGTGGTTAAAGGTAAAAATAGCCATTAGGATGGTAGTATTGTGGGTTAAGGTTAAATAACCATCAGGATGGTAGTGTTGTGGTTTAAGGTTAAATACCCATCAGGATGGTAGTATTGTCGTTTAAGGTTAAATAACCATCAGGATGGTAGTGTTGTGGTTTAAGGTTAAATACCCATCAGGATGGTAGTATTGTGGTATAAGGTTAAATAACCATCAGGTTGGTAGTATTGTGGTTTAAGGTTAAATAACCATCAGGATGGTAGTGTTGTGGTTTAAGGTTAAATAACAATCAGGATGGTAGTATTGTGGTTTAAGGTTAAATAACCATCAGGATGGGAATATCGTTATAGAAGTTTATCATACATTCGACCTAGGCAACTATTTTTGCATGTTAAATAGAAAACGCAACAGCATTGTTATTTTTTCTTAATTTTTTGAAGCATATCAATAATTGCCTTCCGTTCAAATCAAAAGGATTTGCTATTTTGAGAAGCTATATGATAACACTTTTAACGAAGCAAAGAAAACAGTTCAAGGATGTAGCATTAGGGGTTAGTCTGTGTAGGAGGTGGCCTGAACATTGGTGTGTAGGAGGTTTACCTAATAAAAGCTGTACTAACGACTACGGTAAAAAACAACACAGATAGCAGTACGTAGTCCTGTCAACGACGTCAGTGTTACAGCGGCAGTTTACCATAACAATCATATCAATGTAGTACCTCAACTTCCTTATAGACATTTATAGAGACTTATATACAGCTATGGAGACTTATAGACATCTGTGGAGACTAATAGACAGTTATAAAGATTAAATAAAGAGTAGCATATGTGGTATAGTAATTTTATACTTAATTATCAAATATGTAATCAGAGAAAAAATAGACAGTATTAACTTTTATGATCATATCTGCATCTGTTTTTAAAAATGTTTATTTATTAATAATTGTTTAACTTTATGAAATCACTGTCGTTTTATCTGGCTAAAAAGCGAACATTGAATCGTGAAAATAGCTTTGATGACGTCAACACTATACACACTAGTTATTCTGTTAGTGATGGGTTACCTGTAAAAGTCGGCAGTGTAAAAAGGTTAATGTCCTTTTCTCAAGTAGGTTTTAACAAGAAAATCGAAGCGCAAGTTATAAGCATGTTTTGCTTTGAATGAAAAAAAAAAAAGATTTTTAATTTACTTATAATCTACATTTGAATAAAAGGACAATGCATTTATTAGTTTGCCATCAAAATGAATCGGTAATATCCTTTATTTCTCATTGTTAATCTGGTTTAAACTTTTCTTTATTGGGTGAAAATGTGTTGTTTATATTTGGAACGGATACAAAACATATTTTTGTCAAACATAGTATAATCAATCAACACTTGATGTATAATTTGCCGTGCGAAGGAAGAGGAATATATTTTGAGAATTAATAAAATATTGGAGATGTTAATATTGTCCAACATGCGTATCCGTCACGTGGCTAGCCACCTAATCAGTTTCTGAAATGATGTATGGTAATCAATGATAAGAAACGGTTTACAATACTAACGTAAAGTTGCCATGTAAACAACCTATGGTTACTAAAAGTAACAGATTGTTTCTAGACAATAGTAAAAACAATATGTACTTGTTGTTTGAAGCATCAGGTTGTTATCGTGTCAATGACAAAAGGGAAGGAAACACGACTGTCAGCAGTTCCACTTCTTACTTACTATTTAGTTAGACTGACAGTTGGTGTGTTCGTTCTATCCAATAGAACATGTTTACATTTGTTTTTAAGACAATATTTACAGGCGAGCTGTGACTATCACCAGAGGACATACTGGAATGATTTGTATTTAACAATAGATTTTTGACTTGCTCATCATATGTATATAAACATTTGGGTTCATTGTGACCCAACAAGACGTTTAGCTTTAAAACATAACCATTTTGAATATGTCTTTTTTTTATTTTGAATATTTCATAAATTGAGTGGGAAAGACCGGGTGAACATGTGACTATATATAGCGCGGGTGTTGAATGAGTGAATGATTAAGTTTGGTACAAACAGAAACTTCCCTTTTATTGAATGTATTGAGTTGTTTAATTGTTTAATTGTTCCTGTTGAATATTCGGTAAAACATTGCATCACTAGATATTGTCGATAGGTTTTATTTAATTGGATGAAAATCTTTGTTTTAATTCCCGAATAAAGTCGGTGTGTCATTGAAGGAACCATCGTGAATATGATTGTCCTAAAACATCTCGTAATTTAGATTTCATTAATTAAATACAAGACTTATACACAAACCCTAGTCCAGGGAGTTCGTATGATTCTAAGATCCTCCTACATTCAGTATGGGGACTTCAGTAGGATATGCACTGGACTTGTTTTGGTCAGTTATGTATTTTTTTCTTGTTCTTTTTCTTCTTGTTATTCTTCTTCTTTATTTGGTAAGACCCTTCTTTTAATCTAAAAGAGTATTAGTTACTCGCATTTTGTGTAACAAAACTATATCGGCAACAAAGCAATAGATTTATTACATATAGACAATTAAATACTCGTAGTGGGCATTTCTAAAGCATTCAAATTAATACGGGTAAAACATAAAGATTCATTTTACTTTATAAAACATTATCCGGTCAGAGAACTTCATACGGTGAAATAAAAACAGCACATTGAAATATGTACTTTGTATTCTGACATTGTTTAACTATCCTTATTACTGAAGGATTATATTCAGTACATATAAGAATGAAAATAAATAATCTGGATACAAATCAGCTAGACACCATCAGCCTACCGTTGTCCAATTAACACTATTTGATAAACATGAATTCCATAAACCATAAACCAAAGTATGATAGCCTGCGTAAAGGCACACACGATCATCAATATTATAGAACACACGAAACATATACCCCCAGCATTGACACGTAGTGACGTACAAGTTAATTACAGTCATTTACTAAAGACGCTTCTTCTAAAGTGATTAAAAAACACGAACAAAATGTTAAAAATGATCCGCATAGTTACTAAAGGCATCAGTATAGGTAGGTTTCTGACGTTATACAGAATACTTAATTCAGAACCTGTAATCAATCAATTCAACACATTGACCTATAACTAATGCGCTGAGAATGTATCGTTTATTATCGAGAGCGTTGGCGGGCAATGATAGATTTGGTAATAAAACTTAGACAGACATCTAGATACAAATAGTTAAGGCTTTGTTCGTGCTATTGATATAAGTTAACGAAGATATATACAAGTTCGATAAGATGGTGGCCTTGACGTGCTAGACTGGGGTCAATCTGAACCCTCATTGTATAAAACAGACGTATTGATATTGAAAGATATCCTTTCACAAGCTGTTAGAAAAGAGGTCAAAGTTCATTACTTAACCAATAAATTAGAAATATGATTGATAGTGGAAGGTAAAAGGTGGAGATAAGTTATCAATGTGGTCAAGGCAGTGGGGTTAGTTATGAGTAATAGGAGACTTGCATTGCTGCCTAGCAAACAACAGTTTAGTTCAATAATTCAATAATATATCATTACCATGTGTCATCTGTACATAGATAGTCTAGACCTACTTATTCTAATAAGATGATGAAGAATACGAACAGATGGTACCATATAGATGATACATTTTATGAATAGTAAGTAGATTTTCGGTTTTAGTTATTTGTATCTATTGACATGAGTCGGACATTTCCATACTTTATATTCGGCAATTAGTGAATACAACAGCGTTGCTACAGAAACATGTCGGAAGGGCAGTTTTATGTTTTTAAGAACATTTTCAAATATGTATTTCAATATTTGACATTCCTTTTGGGCGTTATCTGGAAAGTTAGAAGAAAATAATGCAAAACGTTCTTCATTTGTGGTTCTGGTGAAATTCTGACACCTTATCTACATGCTCGTTAAACATTTAGTTTCCCCACGATCTGGCATCACATTCTTTTACAAAGCCTATACCTTACCAATATAGTCAAGAGTTACAAATATACACCATCAATAGGAGAACTTAGTTTATGGGCCGCAGAGCCTTTAAAAAAAACACGAACATTGAGACACACCTAATTTGACAGGGAAAGTTCTCAAAACCATACAAGCTCCTTCTACATATTGCAAAAATGGCGCTAGACAAATGGTGGCAGTCTCCACATGTTCTACCGTTATTATCAATAAAACTGCCTAGGTAGCTTAGTTTATTGGGCTTCTCCAAGAAATTTAGCATAAAAAAATGGTTCCCTCTATCAGTAATTTTAAATCCGACAAAGAGTACCTCTATTAGCATTCGCTAATCACTAACCAGTTACAAAATGGTCTTCCCCTATAGATAGTACACATCTCAAAACTACTCCCATTGGTATATTTATAAACTGTAACAACATAGACTCTGCTCCAAAAAAATGGTTCCCAACATATTAAAGATTTCATAAGTCTTTTTATATATTCGTAATAAATATGTATGGTA